AGCTATATTTTTCATGAAAAAATTACCATTAAAACTTTATAAAAGAGATTAATGAATTAATTACCTTTATTAGTTTGTAAGTTTAAAATTCTATTATCTGCTATAAGAAACATTAGTTTCGTAATTTTGAGTTTTTGAATGCTTAAGTCTTCTTACTCACTTTTTTACCACAAATGTATTAGTTAGTTCAAAAATATGAAATACAAAAGTAAAAGTCCTCATTCCTTCCTGCACTCGCAACTCATTATCACAAAAAGTGTTTAAAATTTCAAAGACATGTATGTCTGTGATTTTTTGTAGCTGCCTTTTATCTGCAACTATATTTGCGACGATGATGATTTTAAAGTGTGAAGTTTCTGAACCATTTTATTTTCCGGAGACGTTTTTCTCCATTATGTTTTAGTCTGTGATGTTTCCACCTTGCTCTCTTTTCTCCCGCGATGTTTTGTACGACAACGTTTTCAATTTGCGTTGTTTTCTCCGTGACGTTTTCGTTCACGTTGGTTTCGCCAGTAAAAAAAAAAATAAAAAATAAAAAATAAATAAAAAAGACTTTTGCTCCATGTAAAAATAAGTTAAAATGTAAGACCAGCACACATATGTTATCTGTGATGGCATTTCGAAACTATTTTTGAATATTTTTGAAAAAAGGGAAGAAAAAAATTCTGAACTCTTTCAGATTTTATAATGCGCTTAAAGGGGCGTTTTTTTCTTTCCTACAAACATACATGTTTCGAGAGCATTTGGGTTAATGTCCCTTTAGGATAAAACTATTAAAAAAATAGCATATCTTTAGAATTTCCAGTAGACAGACTCGCGCATTGGAGATTATTTTTTTTCCGTACAATGTTGCTAATGCTGGCTTTGAAGTCGTTGAGTTTTTTAATAAAAAATTCATTATATGAAATAGACCAATAAAACAAATTAGAAATTCGGGCTCTCAGGCCCATATTCGGGTGAAGGATTACGTATTCAAAATTTCATAGCTCTAGCTACCTCTATTTTTTCACAATGCGAGAAACATACATACATTCATGCAGATTCTTAATTGTTTAATTTCTTTAAATATAATAGAGGGCGATAATATTTGGTGGCAACAAACTGAAAAGTGAAACTGACATTTATAGCGGACCGACGCAACATGCTGTGTCGAGAGTTATAGCCCTTCTATGCTAACTCCCTAAAAACTACTAATGGAAGAAGAAAGTTCTATTGCTCTTTGTCGATACTGAAATATTAATCATAATTTTCGATTAGCGCTTTTTATAAAACTAACAAACCGAGAAAACGAGCTTTCAGTTAGTATGATAATAAAATTTACGTTTTGTTTGCAATTTTTAATATGTAGGAATTCAGTATCGAAAATTAAAGCTAGAATCTAAATCTCTTTTCTTTCTTTTCTCTTTCTTTTTTTCAGAAACGAAATCTCTTTTCTCTTTAAAATTTGATCAAAATCAGCTGTAACCATTGGAATCTGAAATAGTTCGTCTAATCTATCTCCATATTATTTTGTAACTATCTTCATAGATTAGCTCTAGCCGGTTAGATATCGTAGTTCCAGCAGAATTAAGGTAATTGGTTACTGCGTGAACTTTACATGATTTTCTCATATGTAATGTAAATATGAACCACAGAGGCTTCCTCCTTACAAGCAAATAGTCCTTGTATCAAAATCGTAAAAACAACCTTATATTTAGCGTAAGTAACTTACTTACTTATGCTAAATACAAGGTTACTTACTTACGCTAAATACAAGGTTGTTTTTACGATTTTGACTGTCACATTAGCGTGTTTCTCTTCTAGTCTAGTCCTTGTATTTGTCAAGAACAAAATCCAATCCAGTCTAGTTGGTTGCTCATGTGATTATTTCCATGACTGAAAACAGAAATTGAACCAAGTTTTGAACTTTTAAAATGAACTGATGGAAATGGAAAATTTGCTTTCTATATTTCTCAAATCCGGTGAAAAATGCACCATACCTTTTTCAAAGAACAATAAATGTATTCTTCTCTTTTGAACTTTATTTTACTGCATGTCAGTTTATTTCTTTGGAACTATTTCTATGCTACACTGCATTATAGCTTCATATATAGATAAAATAAAAAATATATCTTTTCAACACAAAGTTTCATTGATTTTTTTTTTTTTTTTTTTTTTTTTTTTTGTCTTCTGAGAAATTTTCAGCAGTTACGAAATTTCCGAAAGTGCAAAATGAAAGCAAAATCCATTGACACGTTTAATATTAGGTTCTCATCTGAAAAGCGGTCCCAATTCATTCTTTGCTGAAAAGAACTTATACGATTTCAGCTATTTTAGGAATAAATACAACAAATGCTTTAACTTGTAGTGTTCCTTTGATTCGAAATCTCTCCCAGTTAGCGCATCTATGAGCGAAGCCCCGAAAAGTGTGTTATTCCCACAGTTTATTGTTTTCAGACTTTAATTTGAATGGTTCACATCGTGAACAACCGAGAATCCATAAAAATTACATTGTCCGCTGTGTGTTAGCGATTTAGGTTCTAAACTTGTCACTGATTTGTTTTGCTACAAAAGAATAAACCGACGAGATGTGAAATTGGGGTACTTTCTGCTTCCTAAATTACTATATGGCTGATAAAGCTTGCTTAGTTCTTTCAAACAAAATAAGATAGCAGCAAGAATGCGTATTTCTGCTATGTATTAACTTCAAGAAATACACGTAATAACGTTTGCTTCGCTATATTTCTCATTTTACAATTAAACTATGCAAAGCATTTTAGAAAGCTATTAATATAGATTACAGAATTAATGTTATTTTCAGACACATAAAATCCTGCATGCGATCAATTTTTCAAATAAAAATGGTGGATTGTTAATTTCCTAATATGACATATTCCATTCAAACGTTTTGTGTCTTAAATGTTCTGTTTCTAAGACCCTTCTGTTTCTACGGGTTATGATTCTGTTTTATAACCCTTATTCTTCCCTATCTTTCTACATCGTAATTTCCGAAACAGACTTTTGTAGTATCGGAAAAGGTATTTTATTACATTCCGCTTGAACAGCTTTCTAAAGTCCAAGGAGGGTTATAGATCGACATTTGCCCAATCTGCTTTTTTAAAAGTCCAAAATCCCTAAATTCCCTCGATGATTTTGCGTCAGTGGATTTACTAGGAATATGAGTGAAGTGTTTGGCGTTGATACCCTTTTTATTCTCTTTTTTTAGTCCAAAGGGACTTTGTCCCTGAAGGACTATTGTTTTCCTTTTGCGACTTTGCGTTGGTTCACTATAAATGTCCGTTTCACTTTTCATACTGTTGCCACCAAATGTTAAAGTCCTGAATTATATTTGAAGAAATTAAATAATGAAAAATCTGCACAAATTGTATGTATATTTCTTGCACTGTGATAAAACAACGGTACATAGAGCCATCGAATTTTGAATGACGTAATCCTACCGCGAATATGGGCATGCGGAAGCCCAAATTTGAAATTTCGAATTTGTTTTATTATGGATTTCGTATTTTGTAAAACTTTAATGAATTTTTGATTAACAAACTCAAGGATTTCAAAGCGAGCAATGGCTACGTTGTACAGAAAAAAAAAACATTTTTATCTTCAGCGCGCGAGACTCTGTTTTGGAAATTCTAAAGATATGCTTAATTTAAAACTATTTTGCGATATTGCTCTTAAACTTAATTTTGTGGTTTAAGTGCGAAGAACGTGATATTTAATAAATAAAAGTACCAAAAAAAAACGTTGAAAAAACGCCCCTTTGGATGTAATTTAAAATCTGGAACCTTTCAGGTTTTTTTTTTTTAATTTTGACGTGTGGCTACTTGGTTTGTCTTTATGGACTTCTGCTATTTGATGGTTCTGAGGGTAAAAAGAAGGTCTTTCATATTTGGAAGTTTGGGTCTAAAATATGTTCCTGATAATATGTAGGAGTTGATCTTAACATTTTTCTTCACTCTCTTTATTTTTAATTTGCCGTTATATGAAAACTCAGTAGCAATCGTAAATCGCTTTGAAAAACTTTCTTTTGATTTTTTTAACCATGTTTTAAGATTTTTTCTCCTCTTTTATGATAATAAATGGGACTCTTTTTATTGTAGTTATGTATTACTTTTTATTGCAGGTGTATTTAACACCCAAGATTCATCTATTGTAATAGTGTTTTTTCATTTTTGCTGGGACAAATATTTCTCATAAAGAATTCTGCAGCGCATTCCGCGTTCGGCGATATATCTTGCAGAAAGACGATGCGCATTATGTTTTCTCGCCTTTCTAATATTCAAATCCGCATCCATCACTTTGTTTGCAATTGACACTGAGAAGTTTAAGGATTTTTCAACCGTCTTTTGACTTGACGGATTTTCTTTTAACGTCAAAGATCTCACCTTTGATACATTCGAAACATACTCTATTCGGAATAATTTTTCCACTTGAAGACAACACTGACTTTTTTCCTGTCTTGTTGACAATATAGCTTTAGATATCGAAACGTCAGAGCTTTCACGGCGTTTTTTAATAACTAGACGCTAATAATTTTCTTCAAAAAGAGCACAAACATAGCCTTCCCTCCACTGCTTCTTTAAAAGCGCCATTTTGCATGAAAACAAAACTGTCAAATAGTAAACGATAATTTAAACTTTCAAATATATATTTGCAATTAAAAAGATTTCGCAGAAGATATTTTTTACAGCAAAGCAAAGTCGTCTAAAAAACGTGCGAACTGCTTCTGTACTTTGCAAACTTCCAAAAGGCTTATTTTTTAAATATTAATGGAAAATTTAATATGTGAACCTGGTCGTGTTAGTAGGCAGGTCTATATCTAAATTTTTATGTTTATTTTCATTGCATAAAGGTAAATTTTAAATCAGTATTTAAAATATAAGTTCCGAAAATTTAAATGCTAAAAAATAAAAATATAAAGCATATTTTCCCTTCTTAGATCTTTACTTTTTATTACAATGTTTCTTAACATTATATTAAATACACACTCATCATTTGATTATTAGGTACAGCTCCCCGGATTTATGCCTGGACCAAGACTATGATTGAAAACCAAGGGCAAGAAACGAAGCTGACATGTCGAGCAAGTGGACACCCAAGACCTACCATAGAATGGTTCGATTCTCGAGAAGAGGAATTGGGAGTCACGGGTACTTCAAAGTATGAGGTAAAGAACAACATACTTTTTCCAGCGAATTATTAACTGTGCAGCATAACGCTGCTTGTTAGTTACAGAATTACCCCAATTCTGCATACGTCAGTTTTCTATACTTTTTTCTCTTCTATTCATAAAATCTATTGTTTAGTCCTTGAGAAGACCTTTATCAGATTTTAATTCTATAGGAGTCTAAGACATTGCTTGTCGCTTTGGTTTATCATGCATCAGTCACAAAATGAAAGCCTTGAAATTTCTTACCTCTTTCACAGAGAAGTCGCCCGAGTATTCCGACTTCGGCAGGTCGCCTGAGCGCCTGCGTTCATTTTTTACCTCATGAATTTCCCCATCACCTTAGTGCATGGTTCATTGGTTTCGCGAGTAGTTCAATGGCATGCCAATCATTTTAAGCCACTTCCATCTCCTTTGTTTATCGTGAACGTTTAGCTACTGATGCTCGCACTTGCAATCCTGTTCTAGGAGAAAACTGCACACATTGGGTGAAGCCGCACAAAGATCTCCAAGAGAGAAGTAATCACTTCACTTAAGTAGGTGATTGTTAACGCTGTAGCATTCTACTTGGCAGGGGGGAAAGAAATCCATTCCAACATAAATTCGTCTACACGGGCGTTTTAAATGTTTGAGGGAGATAGATTTTGACCTTTCTCGGTGGTAAAGGTTTGAAGAATGTGAATTTAAAGTCAAGAAGAGAGAAAATTAATATATTATCTATTGCTAAGTAATGGTCTTTTAATCATTCTTTTAGTATTAATTTCTCTAAAAACGTTTATACGTTAGTGAATTAGATTTCTTTAAAGCCTTTTACTTTTATCAAAACCTATCAATTTTAATTATTGATTCTAATTACAGTTCCCTTATTTCAACATATTTAAAAGATATATTTTTAGATAACAATTTATTTTTATATAATTTCTCAAAATATCGTATAATTCTTTCATACCTCCTTTTTCTTTCTTTAGTTTTAATTACATGTCAGTATAATTACTGTTTTTTATTGCTTTTTATTTTAATGGCGTTTTTCCATCAAATGAAGTAATACATTTCTTAAGAACAGGGTAACCTTCAATCCCTCGAACGCAGTTATATTTTTAATATAATCTATATATCTATCTATATATTTAATGCTAATTTAAGATTAAATTTTGTCTCTTCTTAAAATTCAGACTATCGTGCTTCTCTTTTATCTATTATTTTGAGTATTAGTATGCGATTTGAGTAATGTTTAAATAAATTTATATCTCATGATTTATAATATTAGGAACACATGTATTTTTAAGTTGTTATATATCAGTTATGTAAAGACAGAAGTAATATATTCGGATAGTTATGATATATAATTATATTTTCGTAGATTTTGCCCAATGGTGATCTTGTAATTCGCGATTTGACGTGGAGCGACATGGGAAATTACATCTGCATTGCTTCAAATGTTCATGGTACTGCCAAAGAAGAAATATTTTTATATCCAGCAGCTGTAAGTATTCAATAAACATTTCTGTGTGTTTTATATCATTTTTATATGCAAAATATCTTCATCTGCTATGTTTAAATTACTAAAAAGAAGAATTAAATTAAACTTTAGCAATAGGACGGTGTACACATTTTTTTTATTTAAATAATTTTTTAATATTTTAATGAATCAAAGCTCCATTTTAGCGATCTCTTTCAAGAGTTTCAAGTAATATTCATGCCATTTAAAGCTAATGCAAAACACAATTGCCCGTATTTACGTAAACATTTCGATTTTTGGAAAATCAAACAATTAATTTCAATGATTACTTGTGACAATTACCTCTGTAAATTAATATATCATCTCTAACTCAATAAATAGTTACAAGATGCTGAAAAAAAGCAAGTGGTGAAGCTGCACCAAAACAAAAAGGTAGAAAATCTTCGCTTGAAAATTTAATAGATGAGAAATTTATTGTATCCAATCACTTGCATATGGCTACCTGATAAAAAACGATTAGGACTGAAAAGCGCTAATGAACCAGTTTGTTCTTTCTAGCAGCGGTATTAGTTTAAAGGTACATGAAAAGATTATATGCTGTTTGTTTAATAGTGTGGAATGACAGACATGAAAACTAAATTTCAGCTGATGGATTGGATTGGATTATTCAATTACGGCAAAGCACACGAGGGCTAGCTGCCTAAAGGGAGATGCTTCGGGAGGATTTCTAAGGACTGGCTCGTAAACGTTACACATGGGGAAAACCACGAAAGCGCCCATGCAGCTATCCCGTTCGCGTGATTCGAACCTCGGACCGAACTACCAGTGTTCGGCGTCTTTACCGCTCGACCGCTGGTGGGCCAATTTCAGCTGATGAAGTAATGTCTTATATGTTTCATATTATTGGGCATATTTAAAAAACATGCATAAAAGTTTTGCAAAGAACATAAGATGCATCGGTTTTTTAAAGCTGACTATCTGGTATAATAATGTAGTTTCGAATATCATCATGAGTCCTAACTAAGATATTTTTAAATGATTAGGGGAAAATTAATAGTTTGTAGTACAAAAATTAGATTTTTTTTCATGTGTTTAAAACCGCTTAATCTTTTCACCGAGGTGGGAGCTAGGGTAAGGTTTCTTAAGTCGTACCCTTTAAGAAAAGATAGATATAAATAGTAGGATTTATTAAAAAAATAATAATTATGTGGGGTAATAATATCTTGTGTTGTTCTTGCTGATATTTATTGCAATAAAATTCCATACAGTCTATTCTCTTGGACAAAAATTAATAAAATTTATGAACACGAACTTGTTACGTCTTAAACAACCAGTATTTTAAGTCGTACCATCTATAGCTTAAATTGTACTACGTTTAAAATTGGAGAATTTTAATAAAACTTTCTTTTTCTCTGTTGATTTATTTATACAATTAATTATAACAATGATCACAAAGATGCTTTTTCATTTCCTTATCAACTCCAGCGCATTAGTTGCGTACCCATCCTTTGCATTTTAGGCACTGAATCATATTCTCTTCGCGGTCTTCTTCATAAATATTACAGGGAGATGAAGACAGTGTGAAACAATATGGTTGACTGGGGACAACTCGTTCTGACAAAAGAGGCGCAGTTGGCGTGATATTACGCCTAATATTTAAAGGATACGACTTACGCAGCCTTACCGTATATATTTCACCAAGGCTCAATAATCTCCCATACGTCTATACTCACTATAAAGCACATTAATGGTAGAATAACCGTTATCTACTTCATGGTTAAATGCCTGCATTTGCTATTCTTTTGATACTTCTTGTGGTTCTGTTTTACTTTTCAAATCAACACGACAAACGATCTATCAGAGTGTAATATTAGAAATTGAATAAAGATTAAAATTCAAGAAACTGCCTCAAAAAATAACTGGACGGGCTCTTTTTGCCCTTTCATTTATGGACGTCCGCATAAAGTATATGATAACAATGGTAACCATATTGAAAGTTCTGCAAACAATATTGATTCAATAAAGAATATTATTATCAGGTTAATTTGGACATCATCGTAGCGCCATCTGAAGATGCCAGAATGCCCTGAAAGGCTGCTCATAATTATGGATATGTAGTGTAAGAATTCAATACTCACTGTTGCCTCTACACTTATACCTACCTGTTTTTACGAAAGATTTCAATAATAACTGCAACTAACGAAATCTTTTTAACGATACAACGGAAGTACCATGCACGGTTCATGTTATATAATAAAAATTAATTAGGTGATAATTATATGCTAGTAAATAATATAAATGCTAGTAAATAATATAAAGAATGAAACTGCTATGCACAATTCAGCTTCCAAAGTGAAAAGACTATTGAAAGTAATACTGTGGCTTCTAAAGAGAAACGGACTGTGGAAAAAGAAGTAATTGATAATTCGTCAATCTTTAGTGTTGCCATTTCTTTTTTGTTTTGATATTAGAAGCATCTGTAGCAATTTGTTTTACTCTAACTGCATTCAGCACTTTCTTAGCAGCAATACCATCTTAAAAAGTAGTATCCTAGTACTTTGTCATATAATTTTTCTGATATTCAATGCACAGTGAATATTAAAAACTGCATTTAGTGATTTTTCCTTTTGATCGACAGCCATATTTAGCAATATTTTACAATTTAACATCAAATCCTTTTTGTGATGTTGATGGTAATGAAAAATGAATGCATTTTCATTTTGAACATCACGTTACGTTACCATTATGTTACCTTATAAATTCTTCCTCTGCTCATTTAATAAACCTCACAGACTAGCAAATTTCCAAATTTAAGACCTGTTTCTATCGACGCAAATATGATTTGTGATTAGTTTTTTGAAAATACATTATAGTAATTATAATGATTGTACATTAGTTATAGCAAACTGAACCTTTGAGGAAGACAAATAACTGATGATGACAAATTTCTTCTAAGCTTTTTAAATGAAGAGAGCATATTCAGAATGTAAAACGTTTTTCGTCCCTAATACTAGTTCATTTTGTGTATAATCTAATTCCGAGAAACGTTAATAAATACAATTGAATTTCTGTTAACCAGGCGAAGTCTGGAAGTTTTTATCAAACGAAGTCTCTGTTATCCGAGACAGCAATTAGTTTAAAGAAATCTTTGGGAAACCATGGTAACATTACAAGCGAAAGTCTAACATTCATAAATTATGTCAATGATTATTTTTTGGCTTTTCTATCAGTGATGTGCTATTAAGATAAGAGATATAGTCATTAGTCTCTCACTAATAATGAAATTATTGTTAATGATGAAAGCAATACACTAATTGACAATGAATTTGAAGACATTTTCAAAAGAGGTTGAAATATAATATCGCAATTTCTTCCCAATCAATATCCCAAAATAATATCCCAATAATGTCTTCTAATGAAACAAATGTAGAAAACAGTTACACACGTTTTCAAGTTTTAAGTGGGGAGGTTCCATTAAGGAGAAACACTACAAAAACTCCCATGCAGCTAGCCCGTTCGCTTGCTGGGTCAAACTATGATGCGAGCATGCAATGCACAAACTATGATGCACAATAATGCTATGCACAGTAATAATGCACTCTCCAGCGATATTACTGTTTAGGCATTGGTTATCACATCTACTAATAAATGAGTTTGCTAAAAATGTTAATTATAGTACATACATTTAGACTTGCAAATAAACTTGCAGAAAAATCTTGTTGAAAGAGAAACGTGCAGGATTTCAGATTTGTTCTATATTAACCGAGGTTTCAATTATTCGAGGTAGTCACGGTCTCTTTCATCTGGGATAATCGAGGTTTTACTGTTTTTATTGATGCATACGTTAGAGTTCGAAAAACTGAAAAATCCTATATTCCTAATCGACTGTCTGAGAAAGGACTGTATTTGAAATCTCCGCTTTGCTGCAAGTATTGTCTGTCAGCTGGAAAAGCAAATTTACGGTCTTTTAAATCCCTGAAAACCCCTATACCGACAACGCTAAACACAAAAATCTCATTTTAGTAAATGTTAGGAAACACAATAAATAAGCCATAAAAATTTTTAGATACTTGTGAGCAGTAGTTCCTAAGAAAAGGTACATCGAGTACAAAAAAATCACGTTCGGGGGAAAAACGCATTTTTATGTAAAAATCATTATTTATCAAAGCATTAAATGACAAATTAAAACTAAATTTTTTTACAGTTCTAATTTTCATACAGGTTAAAGAATGGTATTTTTAGAAATCTAAAAGTGTAGAGAATTTGAAAATGCAGAAATCCGCATGCACTATTTTTTTGAAAGTTTTTGGCTTCCGACACCCCTCCAGTAATTATGCGTATGTAAATTTCACATCCTAAATTTAAAATATATTTGCATTGCATTTAAAGTAAACATTTTTTAAGTTTATGGCAAACTGTCGAAGAGAAGCACTCCTAACCGATCTCATTATCTGCGCTCTGATTTTATTTCATTATTTTTATGCGAAGGCTTTTGAGATATGTAAATAATTTCGACTCTGCTTTAATGACTACTTGATTTATTAATAAATAACAGTTTATAACTAAAATAAGTTTTAACCGTTTTGCTATAGATAAAATAAGTGTTCCATGTGGAACACTTCCTTGTACGAAGTAAATGAAGTATTATAATTGCGAAAAATTTCGCGTATCGTATTTCCACAGAAATATTCATTTCGACCACTCTCAAATCCATTTGAATGGTTTTGTGCGTAACATCTGTACGTACGGACAGAATAAAGGACTCTTTTTTTTTTGCCAAAACGTGTTGTAAAATGGATTTAAAATGCATTCAGATGCGGTTTTTTGTGACGGCTGTATATATCTGGTATAATTCGAAAATGATTATCCGTAGAACGTTGAAATTTTGTGTATGGGACTGCTATAACACTAGTTGTGCATCTCGCCTTTCAACCACACCAAACATATATATATATATATATAATAATTTATTTCCTAAACAATATTGATTATATTATCTCCAAGTATAATAAGTAGAATTATTTTAAAAGAGTGAATCCATATTGGTAAGTTTATTTTGAAATGTTTTAAAAACTTGAAATAAATGTTTAAATGTTTTAACGGGGACTGGAATTAAATCACATGAGAAAAAATTTCAATTGTAAAGCAAATGTAAAGCAATAAATTTCCAATTTTTAATTTTACAACTATATAGAACTCAAATGCATAAACATGAGGGTGTCGGGAACGGGTACTCAGTTTTTTTAAATAGGATTTCTCTACAGAAATTAATTTTTACTCCAAATGAATTGGCTAAAATGCTTCATAAGAATAGTTCTTTGAGTATCAGCATTGGATCATAATCCCTTCTATTCGCGGAAATATTTGGCCTGACTAGAATTGCCGGTTTGGCTTTAACTTATAACTCGAGTAAAGACGAAACACCTTTCGTATTTACGTATTTTTATCAATTATTGTTCATTGAACGGGAGTTGGTTGTTTTTCCCCTTGAAAAGTCAACTAATTTCCGATCAATGACAATGATTACATGCTTTTAATTTTCCTTTTACATTGAAATTTGTTCTTCATGATGATTTAATTCCAGTCCCCGTTAAAACATTATTAACATTTACTTTCAAATTACTTTCAAAACATCTTTCAAAATATAACTTACCAGTATGGATTCACTCTTTAAAATAATTCTACTTTAATTAAACTTAGGAGATAATATAATCAATTAATCAATATTGTTTAGGAAATAAATTATTATAACAACTTTGCAGCAATTGCGCAAGTAGTAGTAACTGTTTTTGCACTAATGAATTTAAGATCATACAAATTATATACAGGGGTTGGACAAAATATGGAACACCTAAAAAAACGTTTCTTTGCTTAATATGGTGTAGGAAACCGTTGGCATCCAAAACAGCTGCAGTCTCTCGGAATGGATAAATACAGTTCTGTAGTTTGCCAAGGGAATATTATACATTCTTCCTGCAAACGATGGCAGTTAAACACGATGTTGGCGGTGGATAACGAAACGCACTTCGTTCCAATGTAGACCACAAAGGTTCGATAATATTCAGGTATGGTGACTGTGGGGCCAGGAGAGATGGGACACTCATCCTCGTGCTCAGAAAACCAGTCTGGACAGGATCTGTGTGAACAGGGGCTTTGTCGTCTTGGAAAGACACCATCACCATCGGGGAAAGTTTGTACATGGGATGACTTGATCGGCCAAAAGTTCACAGTCTTGGTCAGTCATGTGCTCTGACACAGTTATCATGGAGCAGCAGAACACGATATGGTCCCAACATAACAGAACCCCCGTCATGTTTCACTCTTGGCAACAAGCAGTCTGTATTAGGCTTGAGATGGCGTTCTCCAGACGTAAACTCGGCCAGAAGGGGGAAACAATGTGAAAGAAGACTCGTCAGACCCTATTCTCGCTTCACTGCTATAGTCCAGGCTTTATGACTTAAACACACCTTTTCCTTACGGGCATTAGCATCACTGATGAGTGGCTTCTCAATTGCAGCACGCCAGCAATTCCCTGTTTATGAAGCTCCCTTCTAATTGTTTGGTACTCACAGGTTCGGTACACAAACATTCATTTCAGCAGTAACTTTGCAGCGTGGTCTTATTTTCGTCACAATTGCCTTAATGATCGTCTGTCACGATCACTCAGGACACACTTTCGTTCGTGCTGTGATTTAGCAGATGATGTTTTTACGCTTTCAAATATGCGAATAAATCTTCGATACAGATCTTGAAACACTAAACACCTCTGCTATCTTGCTTACGGAAGCACCTCCATACGTGCTCCAACAATTGCCCACGTTCGAAGTCTGTTAACTCTGACATAATGCAATGACAACCTCACATACAGTACTCCGACAACAACTGAACTTTTTAGCACATTTACGAAGTTGTATAGGTGGCGTCAGTAGTCAAAAATGCCAGCGCCACCTACATATTCCATTAAAATCAATCTTTCTGTATGTCCTCTTATCCACACATCCTCTTATCCAGCTCGGAGAACTCTGTTTTTTATTTTTATATGCTGGTAAATTTTGCACTTTGCTGTTTGTTTTTTCTGAAAAACATACCGACTCACTCTAATCTACTGATAAGAAACTAATTAATATGATTTAAAATTATGTGACAAATATCAAAGGGTTGGTAACGATATTTAAATATTCAGTACAGTTATCTTATTTGTTCTATCTTCCGCAGCGGAAAGAATTGTCATGATCAGTTGAAGCTTTTTTTATACAGAAAAAAATAGATATTATAATGTCTTTGGTAATGCAATTTTCTAATTCTGATTTTTAAATTATAAAACCAAAGACAATCTTCAAATACATAAGAGAGAAATATGGAGCCGATTTTCATTTCGATTCATTTATTGAACAACTTTTAATGTTCGAAACCGCCTGAATGATCAATATTCTTATAGGGTAACGTAACATGATATGAAAAATAGAAAACTTAAGCTACGCACGATTCTAACCTCAAAACATGCAGAGTTTTCTGACATTTCTTAAAGATTTATTAATTATACAAACTTATGCGTTATTCTAAAGCAGTTATAAAATTAAAACGTGCTTCCGTAATCCTGCAGTATGTGAAAATATTTGCAGAATTTTCAGATAACAAATTTTTCAAGTATTTTTTGGCTTTATTACATCATTCCTAACTTAAATAATACTTATTCTTTTCAGATCGAAGCATGAAGATCACATGAAGTAACGGAATATCTTCAATGAAAGTTAAGAAGAAGAAAGCGTAAGATTCTATTGAATCTGGCTTACAGCAGGCTAAAATTAAAAAACAAATTGTAACTCAGTTCTTTTCCCACTTCTCTCATGGACATGTTTTCAAGAACTTAAATTTTGTATTTATTATATTTTGATTTCATATTTGTATACCATTATTGTACATACATCAGTTTCAATAAAACCTCAGACTATTTGGTGATATTTGTAGCTTATGACTCAGCTGTACGAAATGTTACATTATAAAACATTACGTTAAATACAGAATTAATGCATGATCTCTGCATCAGTACTCTCTGTCACAAAAGGCAATTATTACGAGGTATAATCCATTTAACAGAATAAAAGCATAGTTAATAAATATCATTGTCATTTTTTATCAAATTTGTTCGTTAAAATTTCCCAAGTCAGTACTTATTCTGAGAAAGTTTATGTTCTGCAGACGGTTTGATAAGTTTCCCTTATTATACGAAAATAGAGCTTTCCTATGAAACTCTTCATATTATGGAATGACTCAAACGATAACGTACGAATGATATCAAATAGCACATAAAACCTCAAATCAAAAATGATACCTAAACACGCAATGTATATGCATTAGAAACAAAATTTAACAAATTGCCCGCAATTCATTAAATAAAAATTAAGAAATTGCCTGCGATTTGTTAAATATACGTATAGAATTCTATATAAAAAAAGCGTCCGTGCGTTTGTCTTTCCTACAAATCTACAGTTTTATTCCAATCTTGATGAAATTTCGCACACTTGACCTTCGAAACAATATGAAGTTCACTGTTAACATAAAATTTCGGAAAACCAGCCCACGAACCCCCCCCCCCACTCAGTGCTTTCACATTAGAACGGTGCATTCACGACTCCTGTCGTACATAAACATTACCACTCTTAGTTTCACGTCCCCATTGCTGTTTTTATGCTATCAGTGGAAGTTATACTGTGAAGAATATGAATTGTCGTTTAGTTAAAATCAAAAGGTTGGTGTAACATTCGTCTGCAGTCATCTATTCTTCCAAGACTTAGACGATAATTCGATACTTCGTTTTTCAGTAGGGTTCATGCTCCCAAAACACACAAGAAGACTCTACAGTACATGCTAAGTGAAGAATTTATAATTGTGTTTTTATTAAAAATATATATTAATATTTCTGCACAGTTTCAGTTTTGAAATCACGTCACCGGTTTCAGGTTCACGTCGCTGTTGTTGCGTTCCCGCTGTCAGTTCAATTGTTACATGGCACAAAGTTCGTTTACGCTTTAGAACAGTATTGAACCTTTAAATAGAATTTATGTGCACGCTATATCAGCTGTGAATATTTCGAAAACCGTGAAAAAATTGGCCATTTTGTAATTGCTCAGTGGATGGTAATTTTCCAAACAAAGACATAATGGATAACAAAACAATCTCAATTCTTAAAATAAACAATCGACGAATAGATATTATTTCATAATTACATAACAAGCTTATAAATAGTTCCGAGCCACTCTGATACCTTCTCTTCCACTGATTTATTAAAGGATACGGAGCAAGCTGTGCATTGCTCGACAAAATTTTTAAATGCTCTTTGAGCTTCCAGGAGTACTGCCCCACAAGTTGACTTTAAATAAAGGATCTGGTACCATACTATATTGTAATATCAACCCGCTAAAGCTGCGCAACGGAATAAAACTCACCGTGAAGAATCTATTGCAGAAAGTAATAAAGGTCACCATAATCATGGGGTATGTCGCAGTTGAAGATGTATTCATTCGTGGTATTCCATTCGTACCGAGAGATTCAAGTATGACCTTCGATTTAAGGCGACAACAGCTTCCATCTGGCTTGCATTTGCTATGGTTATCAACAAGACAGAGGGGCAATGCTGAATTTCTATTTATTTTGTCTGTAAGTGGACTGGCACTTTCTCAACGTTGGTTGAAAAGGAACAGAAAGCTGAAAGAGGACCTGAGAAAATCAGTTTAGGGCCACCAGTTTGACATATATGGTATAGAACCATCTACACCTCAACAACAGGCGTGTGAGCATGCGACCTTTACATTCTTTCCCAATTAAAGGGCGACTGGGGAAATATAAGAAATTCCGTCGGCCAAAGCAAAATGATGATAAGCTGCCGTCCACCTCATTTTAGTTAGGACACCACTGTAAAAAAGCTGACTTTTTGGTGTAGAAAACTAAGAAAATTAGTTACATCTTTGCCGGAGTTTAATCTACAAATCTTCTGCTTTCTGATTTGATGTGCTATACATTACGTATGGAAAAATGTGATAATTCCTTACAATTTAAAGTTTACTTTTAAATTTGCACACTTTCAGAAAAATTCAAAAATTGGAAAACCTGGAAATTTTTCTCATGTCATTAATTCTGCACTGATTATTTGTTGAATCTAGTTTTTTCCTTGTTGTTTGATTTTTGTTGAGAAAATGAAAAACATTTGTTAAATCAAAATTTGGCCTTTAAAAAAAGCTTTTTGTACAGTGCAATTGCACCTTTCAGCACTGTAAAGATAGCCAGAACATCTGCACCATTCAATATGGCAATTATTTTGGAATGGGCCGGATACTGCAGTTTGAATCTGAGTATTTACAAATTTTATGTCTGTCTCCCTCAATAAAGGATAAGATTTATAATCTACTAGCAGCTTCGCTGCCAGCCTTCGTCTGGCTTTTAAATGTACCGGAGAAATAGCTGAAGGGAACACCAAACGTTAAATTTAAATGCGAGAATTTTACTGCAGAACAACTTCATAAAAAAAGTTATTATGTATAAACAATTAAATGATATAAGCAATCCCTTAATACAAATATTAATTAGCAAAAATAAATTAGCAACTTCCCTTTGCAAAATCTTAAGAACTCAAAGGGTATAAAGGAGGTTAAAGAACTGTTTCCTAAACAATCGCTCAAAGTTTCAGTATCTTCAAAAAAGTGAAATGAGCATAAATAACATAAAAGAATACAAAAAACAAAAATTCTGAAAAGCAAGTATAATTATGATATTTATTTATTTTCAAGAGAAAAAAATTACAATGAAATAAGCTTATCCCTTAATATTATTATTAATTATCCTAATAAATATTAATTTCTAGTAAAAAAATTAACCAACTTTTCGTTGAAAAAAAAAAAATCATGCAAACTTTTCATATCTTACAAAGAGTGAAATAAGCAAAAAAAAAATACCATGAAGAAACTCAAAACAAAAAATTCCGCGCAGAATTTACTCTACAGACATTTATGAAAAAAATCAATAAAAAATGTATTATATTGTAAGGATCTTAAGTTTTTAATAACGTTTATTTTTATTTGAATCTTTACTATCACTTCTTATTTTCTACTTCCGGCCAGAATTATAAGCGTTTAAGGTTTTTATGCAAAGTTGTCTGGCGAACGCCAAGTATTTAAGTTGTGGCTTTTTTGCCAAGCGAGAGAGAGGAAGCAGTTGAGTCAAAGCAGCAGGCCGCTTACCTTAGAAGTTCGCAGTTGGGTTTTGCCTTCCAAGCCAGAGGTTTTAATCCTCCTGATAAATTTAAACGTATTGTAGTGTTCTCAGTTATCTGTACTACATACGCCTTCCTGTTAATATAAGGCCATTCTTCCACGTTTATTAAAGTTAATTAGAGTTTATTTTTATTTTTATACTTTTACGTTAGACCCCAAGTAGCGGGTCAGTGTATTCCGAAGTACGGAAGTTATTGTATATAGAGAAAAAAAAGGGTTTTGTATACCCTTCATGTGTATCCGTCTACTTACCACATTAGTGAACATAGCTTTAGTAAGCTCTCTGTTCCGAGTCAGGTCCTTGTATGTTCCCGAAGAAGGTAAGAAGGACTTTGAACCTGATAGTGGAGCCCAACGAAGAAGAATAACCATGACCGAGTTTCAAGAAGAACCTGTGCTGCTGCCTGCAGAAACGGCTCAGAATCCAGAAATGCCAGCTGCCGCCCTGGAAGGATTGGTTACATCGTCCAGACCATGCGCGCTTCGATGAAACCAGAAACAACATTTAATGGAAACTCACCGGTAACCAGTTTTTTGGAAAATTGGATGACCACTTCATGCTCTACCCCCGTGCACGAGTTTTCAAAAAGTTACCTTAGCTACCAGCGCTTTGAGGGGCCAAGCGCTTAACTGGTTCAAATGTATAGGCAGAAGTCTCTTGCGTCAAGCAGGAAGTCCCACCTATACTTACGAAAATTTCAAGACTGCCCTACTAAAAGCCTTCCCTGTTGTAAGGGATCGTGCGAAATTAGAAACGGAACTTTTCAGTATATATCAACAAAGAATCGAAAACCTCTCGAGCTTTATTTTAAGAAAAATTCACGTTTTCAAGCTCTTGTATGGAAACCGTTGCGGATCCTGAAATAATTCAAGTGATTTTGCCGAGGGTTACTGCCCCCAAGTGCAAGACTTTATTGAATTAAGAAATCCGACTACATTGGAAACGTTATTTGAGCTAGCAATCCAGTTTGAAAGTAGAAGAACGGCGGACGTCGAAAGAAGACGCCAATATCAACAGCGAAACCAATTTGGTACGCCAAGACTACAGCAAACTCAAACACACGGCTACGGAGGCAAAGCGAATCAGTGGGCAAGGAAACCCGAGCATTCAAAAACAGCCGGCGAACGTCGACAGTTCAATAGCAACCTAGGAAAAAAGTCTCAAGGCCAGTGGAAAAAGAAGGAAAGCACGGAAAGGAAAAATAATTTAAACTAAAACGGATTTCTGCTGACGAGAGGGTGCGGAAATCCGAAGGCCACGAAAACCCCTCTTCCTTCAAGTTAAATACAGTAATGGTGAAAAATTTGACTCTTCCGAAGATTGAAGTCTTGGTGAATAATATTCCAGCCACCGCACTCCTGGATACCGGCGCGGAGTGTTCCTGTGTGGCAGACGATTTTTTTAGGAAGTATTTTCGCAAATACCGCATATATAATGCGGATAATACGACAGTGTTAGCGGCGCAAGGAGAAAAATGTAAGTGCGTAGGTAAACTACCTTTGTATATTCGTATCAAGGACGAACAAGTAAAGGTGATGTTTTTTATAGTAAAGAATCTGCAAGCACATTTAATTTTAGGAATAGATTTTTTCTTTCAGAAGCACCAAGCTACGCTGGATTTTAATGAAGCGTCCCTTAAGCTGACAATGAAACCAGTTCGTACAGAAAACGCTGAACCGCCGATGTTAAAACT